GCCCCCCGCCTCCGCGGCGCGGCTGCCCGCGGCATCGGACCCCGCCGCCCCGCTCCCCTCACAGGACCCCGCCAGCCCCTGCGGACGCCGCCGCCGCCGCCATCTTCCGGGCTACCTGACCGGGAGGGGGTGGAGCGCGTTACTGATTGACAGCCCGGTGCGCCAATCAACCCGCGCCTCACGCTCGGGAGGAGGGTTCGCTGGCTAGGACGGGCCTAATCCGTGATTGACAGCCAGGTCAGCCAGTCGCTCCGCGGAGGGCGAGCTAGGGCCAGCGAAGGCTGCGGCGCGAGAACGGCGGAGCGCGCTTGCCGATCAAGTCGCACTCCGGGAGACGGGAGGAGGGCGGAGTTTCCCTCGGATTGAAGGCGCGCCCCGCCAACCGGCTGGCGGCGCCGTTCCCGAGGGCGGGAGCAGGAGGAGGAGCTTGCCCGAGCTCGTGCGCAGGACAGGCGGCAGTAGCGGGAACAGCGCCGCCTGGAGGCACGGCGCCCCCCCGCCGTTGCTTAACGCGCCCTGGGCCCCCGGTACGGGCAGGGGCTGGCGCGCCCTTCCGCGGACACGGGCCCCTCGGCTGGGATCGCCCCGCACAGAGGAGCGCAGGCCCCAGCCCGTGCCCTCGTGTCTCCGAGGCCACGGCTGTGTCCGGCTCTTCCAGGCCAGCCCGGGCCTGGGGACTCCCCCGGGGACGGAGCCGGCGTGGGGCCGCGGCGGAGCTCTGGACCGGGGCGATGCGTGTTCGGCTCGCTCTCCCTCCGTGCACCCGCAGCTCGACTCTGTGCCAGAGGCCGAGCGAGGAAACCAAAAAGTAAAAAAAACCAGAGCCTGGTTCCCTCAGAAGCCGCAGAGCCTCCGGCAGAGCTTCCCCTGAGGAGCCGCCATACCTGCGCTGCGAGCGGGAGCGGGCACACGGCTCCTCCGTGCTGGTTCTTACACCTCCCTCGGACCGTGGGCCCGTGTTACTCGTGCTCCTCTGCAGAAGAGGAGCACGATCAGTCTCAAGCTAGACACAGAGACGGGCATAAACTACCCTCTGCAGCCTATGCGTTTCCAAGGCTGGAAATGACCTTGGTAAACTAACGATACAAGCAGGACTCCGAAATAAAGATTGTTCTGGTTTAGGTTTAGGCATGTAATTCTGCTGAATTTAGAGTACCCGAAAATGACGTGACGGTTTTAAGTAGCATAAACGGAAGAATTAATCCTAAGGCATCAGGGGCTCTGTATAGTGAGGAAATGGGGAAATACCATACAACTAGCAAACTAGATTTCCGTTTTCCAAATAATTTAGCAAAAAGGCTAATTATGTCAAGATTATATAATGACTTTGGGAGCACAGATTCTCCAAAGAAATGTACAGTGAGTACGCCCCTGGGACTTCATGAAAGGAAAGGTTTGTGCTCACAGTAGTACTTGGAACATGATGTCCAGGAAGACACAACATAAACCTAAATCTGTCTGTCGCTAAGAATTTTTTCTAGGGTAATTTTTCTCCTACCACGGGGATGTACTTAAAAATCAAACTACTTTCCTCTTAGCAAGTCTGTGTCCACCCCCAGACACCCTCTCTCTGGCTTGAAGACACTAATTGTACTACCAAATGACCCATATTTTTTGAAATGTTCTAATTAGTTTTTCTTCCAAGGGAAATATTTTACTTGACTAATGATATGGAAGATAACCTCCTCTTTTGTTGTTTTAGTAAACTGTTATTAATGCATTATGCTGCTTACTGTGAATTATTTTTTAAAAGCAATATAAAACAATAAACAGTCCCAAAGTATTCCTTGTCTGGCTGGCTGTAGATTTGATGGACTGGGAAGGCAA